TGACCATATCTTCCTGAATTCTCACTAAATACGGTAAATGACTTGGGAGAGATGTCAGCTTACCACCGTGGGCTTATCCACGGTGAAAAACGGACCACTGTGCCCGCGCTCAGCCACTTGAGGACGACTCTGTTAAACAATAGGTAGAAAACTGCAGTGGAGGTGTATTTCAGGTTACAGGTCAGGTGGACCTTGAAAAAGATGAGGTGGACGCCCCACCTGTCTTGGCACTCCCAACCTCCCAGGTCAACATTTAAATACTGTAATGGATACCATGAAATTCGTTTTCAATTTCTCCTCCGCAATTATCTGCACATTGATTTAAACTCAAAACCACTTATTAACTGATTAGTTACTGCGTCTGTATTGATAATATGGATTCAGAGGCTCTCTCAATGAACTGTGGTGAAATAGATGATGTCTCCTTGAACGAAGAGGAGAATGAAGAGGTAAGAATCAGAACTGCTTTTCAAGTACTTACTAACTGATTTTCGACAACCTAGGCCCAGCCAAGCTGCTTTACTCAGTTAACAGACGCAAAAACTCATCCACTTCAAACACTGTATATTGAATACACAAATGATTTGCCAGAGTATCCAAGGACAGATCCAAATGGATATACCTATGTTATTCCAGTGAATAACTACTCTCAAGAAGAAGCAGAGCAATTAGTCAAAGATGTAAGTACTTATCAAGTGCTTGCGAATCTCTCTTACTAACCAATTCAAAGATTCAATATTCTCGAGCGAGTGTCCAAGGTGCAAGAAAGAATATTAAATCATCCTTTTTAAACTGCCCAGTTAAGAAATGGATATGGAAATGTTCTGGAGCTCTAGTATGTGAATATCTGAAACCAGATCTACGCCTGCTGCACCATACTTTTTTAGATGAGGTAACATGGCAGGAAATCAAAGATATACAAGAGAATATCAACCTAATTGAACAAGATATTCGCAAGCGGAATGCATATAGGTAAGCACTTATTGAGTACTTACTAGCTACTTACTCACTTTCTAAAACCTATAGTCTGTATTGTTCAAAAAAAATTTTCTTTGAGAGACAAAAGGCATGCCTTGAACAACTTCTAACCTGCGCGCCAAAGTTCAAGAGGCATTTCTATCCTGTAAGTAATATGCAACTACTTAGTAACTAATTCAAAATTCTTTTCTAACTACTTCAAATAGGATGTGAACAATGAATACCATCCGTACATTGGATGTGTAAATGAATCACCAAACTTTCTTTCAAAGCATTATCATAGCTCTGTTAAAGGTCATACTACTATTGATCTTGACTTTCTGGAACGATTATTTAATGATTCAATTCTACCATCTCGAGAGGATTGTGGTGTGATTGAGCCACTAACATCAAGACGAAAGTATTGTGGTGAGTGATTCTAAACTGATTGTTTACTGGTTAATAACCATTTACTAACTAGTTATAGATTATGATCATATACAAGGCCCTGGTAAACTACAACATCTAAAGTGCGGTGTTATTTTTACTGCACTAGTGCCAGTTAATATCCAGGCAGCTCCTTATATTTTATTTACTTCGCATGGTATTCATCAACATCCTCCACCTCCACCTCATAAGCCACCAGAGCTTATACTACGAGGCATTCAAGACATAATCAGGAGAATAAGAAACCTAAGCTTGACACTGGGTAAGACTAAACTGATTCTAAGCCAATTATCCATCGCTTTGAAAACACTTTCTAACTAATATTAAGCTCAATTTCTTCGCAGTCCTGAGCTAGAAGCTTTTTGTCAAGAATATGGTGTACTCACACTAGCTGAAGTACATTCAGCTTTCACAAATACAGACTGTATTTCTGCAATTATTCAAAAGCAGCGTCTTCTTTCATATCCAGCAGGACAAAACTTCAATAGGGTTATTTACTTGTATAATACCCATCCTTTCATAAAGGTAAGGTGGTTTTGAACCACTTGGCAACTACTTATTAACTGGTTCTAGGACTACATCCAGGAAAAGTATCATGATCCTCATGGGATAATGATTCTGTGTGCTTTCAAAGAGCAGATACAGGTCTTAAGGAAGTTGACTTCTTTTGAAGTTGACATGTCGTACAAGCGGATTTGAGAAAAAGGAATGAATGAAGTTGTCTTTGCGACATATCTTTATTCACATGGGAAGAGTAAGTCTTCATAATTTCCCATGTACTTTACAGGTAGTTATAAAATATTTATCAAGTACTCACTAACTGGTTTGTAACTGATCCTAGTTATCACACTCCTTTGAGTTTTTACCAACCAAGAAACAACAGAAGGTTATTACCTTCTATTTAAAAGAGCCTTTACAGGTAGTTATAAAATATTTATCAAGTACTCACTAACTGGTTTGTAACTGATCCTAGTTATCACACTCCTTTGAGTTTTTACCAACCAAGAAACAACAGAAGGTTATTACCTTCTATTTAAAAGAGCCTTTACTCTAATTCAGAAGGCAACTGGTCAGTCTGTTGAATTCCATTCTCTTTATTCCTCTGGGATCTATGGGATTGTGGTTGATATGAATTCAAAACAATATACTAGTAGGTGATTATTCATTAACTGCTTGAGAAGTACTTCATAACTAACTAGTTAAGGTCTTGGACAGTACCTTCAAGAGATCGACCCTCAACATCATCCAATACTATGGCAACTTAAAGGGATTATTGTATTCTGCTGAGTCCACTTTTTCCGGACAATTACTGAAGCTGTTGGGAGTGTTGCTCAAGGTACAGGAGTTTGGAGCTGTATAGCTAATTTAATTGATTGCAGGTCTGAAGAGGACTATGACTAACTATGCAATCTTCTAGCTGGTAAGTGGTTGATAACTGGTTTTGAAGTACTCTCTAACTAGTTGTTAGAACATGAAGACCTAAAAGTCAAGGCATGGGCTGATCATAAAAAGCAACCGATCATTAAAGCTGGGCTAAATAAAAATTGCTCTAACATTCCAGCTTTCATTTATGATTCTATTCAAAATAATACTAATTCTGCTGAACAATCTTACCATAAAGCAAATGCCGCAGGGAAATGCCTGACACTGACTGGAGCAATCCAAAAGTAAGTGCCTACTGTCTTTTAACTGGTTAACAAGCAATTGAAAACTAGTTGATCCAAAATGAGTCCTAACCACCTTATAGTTCTGCGAAACTTGATAAGCAGGATATCAGTCAATACATTAATCATATTGATTTTGGTATTCACCATTCATATCGCACAGCTAACATGGAGACCAATTACTTGAGGCATATGTCTCGTGAAGGTATATATCTCTATATGTACATTCCCTGATTATATATAAGTAGTTACTAACCACATATAAACCAAGCAGAATCTTGAAAACGCTGCTGCTCATCCTCAACACGCTTATCTTCACCTCAGTTAGAAGTTCCTCAACGATCTCAATCACAGTCTCGCCAGTATGTGCACTCGTAATCGCTTTATAACTGATTACTAACTACTTAGTTCTGTTTCTTCTTCCTAAAGCCTGCATTGTGTTGCGTCAAGGAATGCGCTATCTTTTGAGCAACAACAGCAAGCTCTCGAAATAAGGGAGATTGAACTTCAGCTCAAAAGAGAAGAGAATGAGCTTAAAAAGGTAAAAATCGCTTCTTAACTACTTTATAACTGCTTATAGCCCTTGCTGTTGTATGTCTTGTTCTTGTATAATATAAACTGGTTAAGAACTGGTTTACAATCGATTGCGGGTATATTATAAGTGTATGGAGTATGAAAGGAAATTTTGGTACGTAATAAAAACAGGTGTGGTATGGGTAAGGTATGCTGTTACTTTGATACATGGTTAGTTACAGTCCAGCTTGGCAACGGGACGCGTCCAGGTGACCTGTGTACTCGGTGTATTTTTTGTTGATGAGACTAGACTGGCTTACCCAATCCACAGATCCACACCCAACCCACCCAATCCACGCTATGGGTTGGATAAGGGTTGGCCCTGATCCAACCCACATGGGTATAGGTGGTTGATACCCAACCCACATAGGTGTAGATAAACTATTTAGGTATATATAACTAGCAGAATTTAGTAGGTATATCATATATATATATTGTCTATCCCACAGGGGGCGGCGACTGTACTTGACACCGATTTAGGGTTGAGCCCAAAACAGTATAGCAGCCGGGGTAGGGGGGTAGGGACCGACTTTTCAATGGGGGGTAGGGTCGTAGTGCCAGATAGAGTTGTATTCATTTCAGATTTAGCTAGGTTACTGGTTAGGTAATTCTGCATCATTTAGCTAAATTTCAATGGGGAATTTGATGATTTACAGATGTGGTGATGGTGTGGTTAATGCATGGAATTTTAATATGGTTGAGATTCCCACTGAGCAGCATAGATAAAAAGCATTACCCATGAATACTATCACAGCTGTAGATATGGTCAGAAGCATTTTAAATTTCACCAGCTTATTGGTATGCTCGTTCTAAGTAATCTAGCCAAAATTCAGTGTGTAATTTAATAATAGGCAGGCGTGGTAATGGCGTGTTTAATCCCCAGGATTTAATGGGTGGTTTAAGTTCCCCAGATAGAAAAAGCAATGCCCATGAATAAAACATTCAGGGGTCAACCCTAATATTATTCACCCATTCCATTTCATGCCAGTTGATCAGTAGGCACCATCAGTCAGAATGGAAGAGCAGATTTTCATCCAGCTTTCCCAGCCACTGATCATTATCTGCCGGACCTGCCGCCATAGGGTGTGGCCGGCCGAGGTGGAAAGCCATCTCTGGGGGAAAGCCCATCAACTACCCCAGGCCACTGCGAAGCAGATTCATTAGGTCATTCAGAGCTAGGAGGGAGTGGAGCACAGCCCCCAAGCCATTTAATGGCCCCATCAGGTTACCCAGTCAATTTCCCATCTGGATGAATACCTAGATGGGTTACTGTGCCAGCAAGACCCAGCTAATTGCCAATTCATCACCCGTTCACTCAATACATTAAAACAGCATTGGCGCGAACATCATGGATGGACTATGCCATATCCTCAAGGTCGCCCACATGCACAGGAGCAAGAACAGGCGCAGATTACAATCCAGCAAGGATATCAGGTGGTCACCTGCCAGCGGTTTTTCCCATCCCGAACAGGGTCCCATTATATCTGGGTGCCATGCCCCAACCAGCAGCCAGAGGAGCAGCCCCGGGCCGCGCGCACCCCCCACGTCCAGGCCACCGTCGATGCCGTGATCCAGGCATGGGAGCAGGCCCAGGCCCAGGCAAAGGCCCAGCAGACCATCCAGGCCAGCGAGCTCACCGATGCCAATCCATGGCTGCGGATGACCGGGTGGGCAGATTACCTGCAGGGCATCAGTGAGAAGAACTTGCATGACTGTGTTGAGACACCTGAGGAAGATCCCCAGGATGCCACAGAGCAGCGGGTGCAGGTTATCTGGGCCACCATGGAGCAGGTCGCCCGCAAGAGCCAGCGGATGGTCCAGCAATGCGGCCAGGCCATCTGGGTGGAGGCTGTCCGGTCCGAAACAGGGCAGACCCCGCACCAGCCATTATTGGCATACATGGACAAGGCCGCGATCCAGAAGCATGTCCATCCATGGCTAATAAATATTTAACTAATATAAACGTAAAATATGCATTAGTAACTGAACCTTCAATAGATCAGTGTGCTGAAGTTATAAATATAATCAATCAATTGATTAGTTGTAAGGTATATATTATATTATTAAACATGATATTTTACAAGATAATAATTTAATAAATTAATTAATTAATTAATTAATTTATAGCTATTTATTGTAAAACATATTAAAATATAATAAGATACAATAAGATTTAAATCTTACACACATTTGATTATATATATTATATTTAAGTTTTAGTGTTTATAAATAATTCTTTATTAGTTAAGGTTACCTTACTTAAATGGTTATATATAAATATTTAATCTAAAATGCTACAAGCTGCTAAAATTATTGGAACAGGATTGGCTACAACAGGTTTAATTGGTGCTGGTGTAGGTATTGGTGTTGTATTTAGTGCATTAATACTAGGTGTTGCTAGAAATCCTTTATTAAGAGGACAATTATTCTCATATGCTATCTTAGGTTTCGCTTTTGCTGAAGCTACTGGATTATTCGCATTAATGATGGCTTTCTTATTATTATATGTTGCTTAATATATAATTTTTATTTAATCAAAACCTTTTTAGTATTGAAAAAAATGATTGATATAACACTACTAAAAAACAATTGATAGATAAAATATTTCTTTTAAAAGTCTCCTATCACCTTTGTCCTTTCTCTTTAAGGGTAAGGACTAGTTTTACATAATCCAAATTTAGAGGTAAAACCTTATTGTTATTAATAAAAATCGTCATTACTAACATTTAATATATAGAGTATTATAATTCCTTTTCCTTAGTTTTATATCAATATAAAACATCTAGATAACAATAGGATGAAAAAAGGAAATACACCTAAAAGGTGTATTTAAGTGTCAATATAGTAATAAAATTATTTAAAATTTTATTATTTATTACACCCTTATGAATTTTTACCAGTAATGACGTTTAATATATTTATATTAATTAATATTTTATTTAGTAGAAAAAAGAATTATTTTCATATTTATATTCTTTTGTTTTTAATTTTTTTTTTCATATTATATGTGTATTTATATTTGCAAAAAATATATATATATTTTTTATTATACTTTTAAAAATTAGTAATTTATTTTAAATAATTATATGTTGATTTAATAACAGTAGTTCTCAATTAATTAAGCAAAAACAAATATGTTTGTATATCATGACAACAACAACTTTTTTCTTATTTTTAATACCAGTACTAGCAATAATTTTGTTAGTGGTTAATTTAATTCTTTCTCCTCATAACCCATATCAAGAAAAAGATAGTGCTTTTGAATGTGGTTTCCATTCTTTCTTAGGACAGAATAGAACACAGTTTAGTATATCTTTCTTTATATTTGCTCTATTATTTTTATTATTTGATTTAGAAATATTATTAGTTTACCCTTATGTGGTAAGTGCATATATAAATGTGTATATGGTTTAGTAATAATGTTAGTATTTTTCCTTGTATTAACTATAGGTTTTGCCTTTAAGTTAGGTAAAAATGCTTTAAAAATTGAAAGTAGACAAGTATTTAACTTTAATTATAAATCTTGAAATGGTTATTCTTTAATTTATAGTTAAATAGATAAAACTTAATTAAATTGATCTAGTTTTCATGGTAATTACCATGGTTTAAGATTATGGACTAGTAATAAAAATAAATGAATAAATAATATAGATATAAAAATGCTTTTAGATATATTAAAAGGACATTTACTATTAGATGCTCCAACTCCTTGAGGAATATTCTTCTAAGATAGTGCATCACCTCAAATGGAAGGAATAGAAGAATTACATAATAATATTATGTTTTATTTAGCTATTATTTTATTCACAGTTACATGAATGATGATAACTGTAATAAGAAATTTTGTAGCTACAAAATCACCTATAGCTGTCACGGTGCTGCTGTGAATAGGAGTTGGCATTGCTGAGGAGGAATCACATGACCTTAGGAATATCTTCACTGCATAATTCTAAAACCTGTTTAAAGCTCTTTAAGCTATGTCCTATCTATAGAGCCTGCATGTACCAGCCTACCTGCAGCCTGGGACTGTTAGATAAGGATTAGTGTAGCTAGCCTGAGTGTTAACTACCTCTTTAACCCACCCCTGCTTGCCTGCAAGCCTGCACCTTAACATTACATAGCTCCTGCCTCAGAGTTGACACTATCAGAATGCCTGCCCCTCTGCCCCCATTCCTGCTGGGTGCCCCTGAAGAGTTCTCCAAGCACGTTGCTAGCCATGGCACTAAATGATATGAATACTGCTACCTAGCGTACGAGTACATCCAGAAAGCTGAATTAACCATCAATGAAGCAAACTAACAAGCTAAATAATCTAAGGCCTAATTCCTGGAACTCTAGCATGAATTCACTGCCTTAGAGCAGAGGTGTGAATAAGAGATTACTAAGCTGAGAGCTGTTTAGCAGTACCAGAAGGAGTAACTATATGAGAGAGAATAGCAGTATATGAAGGCTGCTATAGAAAGGGACCAGGCCCGTCACTTAGCTACCCCTACTGTAAATATGCCTGTATCTATGCCTGTGTATAAGCCTGTTGCTAAGAAGCCTGTAGTTGCTCTAGTAGGAGCGCCTATGTCAATTACTACCCCATCTTCTGAAGCTGCCAGATTATCAGAACAACTCCCCGACCCTGATAAGTTTAAAGGTGACTAAAAGGACCTTTAGCGCTTCATAGCCTAGATTCAAGAGAAAATAAATATTAACCTTAACCACTTCCTAACACTGCAGAGCTGGATGGCTTATGTGAATAACTGCCTAAAGGGCGCGCCATACACTCAGATTCTTCCTTATATCAGGAAGGGAATTTGCACCCTTAACAACTACTAAGACATCCTAGACATCCTAGAGCGCACCTTTAGTGACCCTAACTATGTGAATAATGCCTGTAATAAGCTATTCAGCCTGCATTAGACTAATAAAGAGTTTGGCACCTTCTTCACTAAATTCCAATGCCTAGCCCTGGAAGGTGAGATGCCTAAAGAGACCCTATCCACCCTGCTTAAACAGGCTATTAGTCACGAACTTCAAAGCATGCTCATGCATAACTAGCCTCTAAGCTAGGAGTATCACCAGTTTGCCAGATTCCTGTAGGAGCTTAAGAACCACCACTGCTAGTACACCACAAACCAGCCTCCTGTTATTAAAACCTATGCTATTACTGCCAGACCTGCCTAACACCCCTAGTCACCCCAGAGCCCTGGCCTTATTGCTGCTAAGTCTACTAAGCAACCCTGGCGCCCTGCTGTTCAGAGGAATGAGTATACGTCAGCGCAATAATACAACCCCATGGACCTAGGCACTACCCAACGCCTGATGAGAAGGGGATATAGCCCCTCCTGCCATGAGACAGGTGCCTGCTTCTGCTGTGGTTCCCTAGAACACTGGATTAGGGACTGCCCCTATCCTGATACCCAACAAAGGGTTTAGATCATGGCCTCTTATAAACCACGCCCAGGGAGTCCCCAGAGAGGATAGATTCCAGAATCTAGAAGCCTATCTCCAAGCTAGACCTCCTCAGTAAAAGGAGTGAGCCTGGAGTAAGCTGCAACCAGGCTTAGAATCTATACATTATTTAAATTTCTGCTGCCACCATTTATAGGCTTGACCTTGAGGAATAAATATAATAATTAAAAGCTATGATACTACCTGTGACCCTAGAGAAGGAAGAGAAGAAGATGAAGCTACTAACTTATGCCCTATTAGACACCAGAGCTAAAGGACAAGGATTTATTAATAAAGGATGGGCTGAAGACCAGAAGCTAGAGCCCATACCCCTAGAAGACCTGATAACCCTGCATACATTTGATGGGGGAGAACCAGAGAATGGGAAGATAACCCATTATGTCTAGATAGATATGAGAATTAAAGATCACTTTGAGAAAGATATAAGGTTTTATATTGTCCAGTTAGCACACTACCCTATTGTGCTAGGAATACCCTAGATGAAGGTATATAACCCCCTGATATAATTCGCAGCCCACAGTATTATATTTGATAGTGATTACTGCCAGAAATACTGCAACACCCCCCAGAAGCTAACCAAGATATAAGCCCTGCATGACATTCCCCTAAAGACCCAGCCCAGATACCTGCCCCTGAGACCGAAGGGACTGGAGAAGAGAGATATAGCCTTTATCTCCCTGGCTGCCTGCTCAGCCTACGCCTGAAGAAATGCTCAGATGTTTATAATTACCCTAGAAGATCTTAAAGCCGCCCTGAGAATTAAGAAAGCTCAGAAAGAAGACCTCACCAACCTGTTACCTAAAGAATTCAAAGACTATGCTAATGTTTTCTCCCCTAAGGAGGCTGAGTGCCTGCCACCACACCGCCCCTATAACTATGATATTAAGTTGTTAGAGGGAAAGACCCTCCTGTTTAGCCCCCTGTACGCCATGTCCTGAGAAGAATTAAAGGTCCTAAAGGAATGGATCAAAGAAAATCTGAGGAAGGGCTTTATCTGCCCTAGTTCTTCACCCACCACATCGCCTATCTTGTTTGTTAAAAAGCCAGGTGGAGGCATATGAATCTATATTAATTACCAGGCCCTGAATGCTATGACTGTTAAGAATTAATACCCACTACCCCTGACAAAGGAAACCCTGAATAACCTAAAAGGGATGAAATATTTCATAAAGATTAATATCATCTCAGCATTTAATAATATCCATATTAAGAAAGGACAAGAATACCTGACAGCTTTCTATACCTAACTAGGCCTGTTTAAGTCCCTGGTAATGCCCTTTGGGCTAACAGGAGCACCTGTAACCTTTTAGTAATTTATTAATAATACCCTATAAGATTACCTTAATATCTTCTGCACCGCCTACCTTAATGATATCCTGGTTTATAGCAAGACCTACGCTGAGCATGTAACCCATGTCCACTCCATCCTGCAGAAACTATGAGAAGCTGGCCTGTATACAAATATCCAGAAATGCAAGTTCATTGTCCCTAAA